CGCCCGCAGGTGCCGGAATTTGCGCAGAAATCGTCAATTTGAACCTAGAGCGTTCAAATTTGATAGGAGGACATGTAGCAGGACAAGGGCACTCGTGCTAGATGAAAGAACCAGACTTCGCCTACAGGGGCGGGATTAGCGCAGAAATCGTCAATTTGAACCTAGAGCGTTCAAATTCTATAGGAGGACACACAGTGCGTCTCCAAATGGTACAATCACCTCCGATTTTCCAAAAAACTCATTGTTTACGAAGTTTCTGAAAAAGTGCCAAAGTAAAAAATGTGTCAAATCTGAATTGCAATTCGCAATTATCACCAGACTTCAACTCGGAAATACAACCATTTTCTTTTGTCAATTTTTCAGTGAAGTATGCTTTTCCAACGTCTCCAAATGATACAACCACTAACAAAATTAATTTATTTAACAAACGTACAAAAAGTAGAGAAAGCTGCAAAGTCAATAATCAGCTGACCCACCATTCTTTCGAATTGCTTTGGAAATACGGTGGTCTAGGCTCGAATAAAACTTATCAGACTGCTCTTGTTCAACTTGGTGCCATGCTTCAATGATCGGATTTTTCAACTCCTTGACGTCTCGGAATTGCTTGTTTTGGGCGTAAACCTTCCGCACGGTAAAGCCCCATACATTTTCCAGGATTGAGATCGGGGCCGTTTGCCGGGCAGGGCTGAAGGGTAACCCGATGTCGATAGAACCAAGCTTGGGTGCTACTACAGACGTGAATTGGGGCTTTACCTTGCATAAAAACAAGGTTTTGGTGCCGATTCTGACGCCAGAAAGAGAGAAGTGCACGGCGCATACCAGTTCTATGAAAGGATGAGTTCATCTCCTTTGGTGCAAAACATAAACGGATACGCTCACTCAATGAAATTGCGGCCCAAACCATGACTCCTCCTCCCTTGAAGTTCCGTCTAGGAAACTGAAGTTTTTTCTTCCTCAGGTGGTGCCAGTAAAATCGGTCCCCGTCTGGACCATCACAATTATACTTCGTCTCATCGAAAAAGACGACCTGAGAACAAAAACCACCAAGAGAAGGAAGGTCAAATGTCAGCACCTATAAGAGCACCTTATCCCACTCGGACCCCATTTTCTCGACGTCTTTTTGTCATGAAGGGCGGCTTGCGCATTTTTCGCTTGACGATGAATCTAGACCTTCTGATCACCTTCCAAACAGTGTTTTTTGAGACAGTAAGGTTTAGAGACGGGTTCCCATACAGGACTTGGTGGAGTTCTTTCCTCAATATACGGCACTTGTCTCTGTCGGAGAGCAGCGAACGACGTCCGGCACCTCTTTCGGTTCCATAGGCTACAAGATTCTTGAAGAAAATATCCACAACTGAGTGACATCGATCCAAATCTCGCGCGATCCGCGATTCATTAGTCCTTGCTTCTTTTTCGCGAGTGTATTACCTTTCTCGAATTCAAAAAGCAACCTTTCTCTTCCTATTGCCTAAATGGAGAACATTACGTAAACGAAGCAATTTCGTTGCGTTGAATGAAAACACGACTCGAAGACCTGAAGTGGCTGTATAATTTAAAGACGTTGGAAAAGCATTCTTCCTGAAAAACTGATTTAAAAAATGTTTGTGTTTCCAAGCTGGAATTTGGTGAGAATTTGCAAATTGCAATTCAGATTTGACACGTTTTTTACTTTGGCACTTCTTCAGAAACTTTGTATACAGTGAGTTTTCGGAGAAATTAGGGGTGGCTGTATCATTGGAGACGCACTGTATAGCAGGACAAGGAAACTCGTGCTAGATGAAAGAACCGGACTTTGCCCGCAGGGGGCGGGATTTGCGCAGAAATCGTCAATTTCAAACTGGAGCGTTCAAAGTCGATAGGAGAACATGCGGCAGGACGAAAACATTCATGCTGAATGAAAGGGCCGAACTCCGCCCACAGGTGGCGGAATTTGCGCAGAAATCGTCAATTTGAACCTAGAGCGTTCAAATTTGATAGGAGGACATGTAGCAGGACGAGAACATTCATGCTGGATGAAAGAACCGGACTTCGCCCACAGGG